TGTCTGCATCGGGGTGGGGTGTGCGTGTCTGCAGGGCGAGGGTGTGTCAGGGGTGTGCGCACAGTGGTGTGTGTGTCAGGGGTGTGTGCACAGTGGTGTGTGTGTGTCGGGGGTGCGGGCACAGTGGTGTGTGTGTGTCGGTGTGCGCACAGTGGTGTGTGAGTGTCGGGGGTGCAGGCACAGTGGTGTGTGTGTGTCGGGGGTGTGTGCACAGTGGTGTGTGTGTGTCAGGGGTGTGTGCACAGTGGTGTGTGAGTGTCGGGGGTGTGTGCTCAGTGGTGTGCGTGTGTTGGGGGTGCGGGCATGTGTGCATGGTGGTGGTGTCGGGGGTGTGTGCACAGTGGTGTGTGTGTGTCAGGGGTGTGTGCACAGTGGTGTGTGAGTGTCGGGGGTGTGTGCTCAGTGGTGTGCGTGTGTTGGGGGTGCGGGCATGTGTGCATGGTGGTGGTGTCAGGGGTGTGCGCACAGTGATGTGTGTGTCAGGGGTGTGCGCACAGTGGTGTGTGTGTGTCGGGGGTGTGTGCACAGTGGTGTGCATGTGTCGGGGGTGTGTGCACAGTGGTGTGCGTGTGTCGGGGGTGTGCGCACAGTGGTGTGTGAGTGTCGGGGGTGCGGGCACAGTGGTGTGTGTGTGTCGGGGGTGTGCGCACAGTGGTGTGCGTGTGTCGGGGGTGCGGGCACAGTGGTGTGTGTGTGTCGGGGGTGTGCGCACAGTGGTGTGCGTGTGTCGGGTGTGTGCACAGTGGTGTGTGTGTCGGGGGTGTGTGCACAGTGGTGTGTGTGTGTCAGGGGTGTGTGCACAGTGGTGTGTGAGTGTCGGGGGTGTGTGCTCAGTGGTGTGAGTGTTTTGGAGGCGGCCTAGGCCGCTTGCGTGCCTCGGGTAAGTGTATTTGATGTTTATAAACGGTTCGGGTGAACCTAGTGGGTATGCGTCGGGGGAGGGCGCACAGTTATGTGTGTGTGTCAGGGGTGTGCGCACAGTGGTGTGTGTGTGTCAGGGGGTGTGCGCACAGTGGTGTGTGAGTGTCGGGGGTGCGGGCACAGTGGTGTGTGAGTGTCGGGGGTGTGCGCACAGTGGTGTGTGTGTGTCAGGGGTGTGCGCACAGTGGTGTGTGTGTGTCGGGGGTGCGGGCATGTGTGCATGGTGGTGGTGTGTCGGGTGAGCGTAGTGGTGACTGTTGAGGGTGTATCAGGGACGTATGTGCGTGTGTGCACTGGGGCTGTGCACCGACGGCGTGGTGGTGAGAGTACCTGTCGGGTGTGGCTGTGCCCCGGCCGCAGGTGCTGGCTGCAGCTTTTTCAGCAGGCGGCCAGCGCAGGGCGTCTGCTGAGTCACAGGTGATGTGGCCGCTGTCGCTGAGTCTGCAGTTCCAGGAGGTCCTTGCTCTGCACCCTGGGTTTGGCAAGGAGACTGGGGGACCCTGGGTTTGGCAAGGAGACTGGGGGACCCTGGGTTTGGCAAGGAGACTGGGGGACCCTGGGTTCGGCAAGGAGACTGGGGGACCCTGGGTTTGGCAAGGAGACTGGGGGCCCTGGGTTCGGCAAGGAGACTGGGGCCCTGGGTTCGGCAAGGAGACTGGGGCCCTGGGTTTGGCAAGGAGACTGGGGACCTGGCCTGTGTGCCCAGCCGCAGCGTTTGTTCGCTCCCAATAACGGGGGGGGGGGGGCAGTGCTCCCTGGTCCCAGTTTTCCCCTCGTTTCTTCTGCTCCAGCGCAACAGCAGGCGTGTGGTGTGCCCAGTGTGCGTGTGCACGAGCGTGGATGTGCACGTGGGACTCTTCCAAACCGCTGTGGATAGTGCATTTAAAAAATAAGTAGTTTGGTGCAGAAAACTTGGAAATCCCTGCGTCACGTTTTCGTAATGTGCACTTTCACGGACCCCACGATTGCACCTGTGCCTGGGCCTCGCCATCTTTGCAACATTTAAAATCCCCAATCTGCAGGTGCTTGAACACACGTGCCAAGCCTGTCAGACACAGCTCGCTGCCGGTGCTGTCCGTGACTACTGGGGTGCGATCAGTCCAGCCTCGAGTGTTCTCATTCTACCCTCACAGCTTTTTTTCCTGTGCACTTTTTCTTAATTTGGGTGAGAGAGGAGGCGAAGACGGGCGCCCACTGGGTTACCCTTGCACCCGGAGTGGGGTCAGAACCGAGATCAGCCCCGTGGGGTGCTCAGGAGGACCGCCTGACCGCCAAGGAGATGGGCTCCTCTGCCCCAGTGCAGACGCGGTGACAGATTTCTGGTGTCGTCACCACCACTGGCATAGTTAGGTTTTGTCGTCGCTAGAATTCCACTGGCTGATGAGACTTGCCGAGAGGAAATTCACCGCGTGCCTCATCCTCAGCCCTGGAAAAGAGGGAATTTCTCTCCCTTGAGCTGCCGTGCCAGGTGTGGGCAGGTGGCCCTGTGTGGCCTCTGGGTTTCTGCAGCTCTCCGATTGCCCGCCAGAGGGCGCCCTTGCACCTCTGGTCGCTGCTCCCTGCCGCGGATTTCGGCAGCACAGGGGCCTGCAGGTGCGGAGGCTGCAGGCCTGTGCCGCCATTGCTGCCCAGGAACTGCTCCCAGCCTCTGCCCAGACAGCCCAGGCCCCTGCGGCTCCAAGCTCAGGGCGGCTGCGGCTGGACCCCGAGGTCTGCCTCTCCTTGCCTTCTCTTGAAGGCCACTGCAGTCCCCACCCTGGCCGAGCTGTCTTCTGCCTGGCACACTGCCTCCTGGGGGCTCTGCTCTGGGGGGCTGCTCCCGGGAGGGGGAGGACCCTTCTGTGGCTCCACCTCCTCACCTGCAGGGTGGGAGGAGTTGGGCGTGAAAGCAGGTTTTTTTCTTTGAGACTTTTAAAACATGAAACCTTTAGTGCCATCCGCGGGTCCGTGGTGTTCAGGGCCCGAGCCGGGTCCGGCAGCCGCTCCCTGGGGGTCCTCGCAGGGAACAGAGGGGGGAGGAGAAGCGAGAATGGCCTGCCCCTGGCTGGCGTGAATCTCTTCAGGTTTGCTTTCTTTCTCAAGATATAAATGGAGGGAAACCCAGAGGGACTGCAATTTCCTCTACTTTCTTCATGGAGACGCCCGCGCTCCCACCCAAGCCAGCATGGAGTCCTCCAGGTTGCCCTTTGGCAGGCAGGGAGTCCCGGGCCAGCTGTCACCAGGGCGCCCACCAGGGTGGGTGGAGGGTGCGAGCGCCCAGGCGCGTGTTCAGAGCGAGCCCTCAGCAGAGTTCTGCAGCCCCTACTGTGCTGGGGGGGTGCGTGTCGGGGGTCTGGGCCTGTCTGCACGGGGACTCCAGAGCTCTCCAGGTACGGCTGTGGGCGGCCACAGGCAGAGGTGCACCTGTGAGATGGGCTAAGCCGGTGCTGCTGGCCGGGGTGGGCCGGTCTTGCCCTCTGCTGCTCTTCTCCCTTGCCCATTCCTGCGGGGTCTCTGGTCCAGTGTTGCATTAGACACTGATGAGATCCTGCATCCTTATTCTAGCCTCTAAGACTCAGGAGACAGGCTGCCGGGCACACCGTCCTGGGGAGCAGCTGTTCTGAGCAGACCCGACTTTCTCACTGGCTGCTGGCAGCCCACAGGCTGGGGACCTCCCCTCCCCTGGATGGGCATGTGGGGGCAGGGGCTGGGTCAGACCCCAGGGAGCAGGGCAGCTGGTTCGTGGAGGTGGAACCAGACCCGGAAGAGGAGTCCCCCTCCTCTTGAGCGTCGGGGCTCAAACCAGGAGCCTGCCGCTGGGGGCTGGTCTTGTCCCTGCTGTGTGGCAGAAGGAATACAAAGTTGGCTCGGGGACCTCCCATGGAGGCAGCAGGGCAGGCCCTGAGCTGGCTGTGAACATGGGTCAGTCAGGGCGTTCCCTGGGGGAAGGGGCAGCTGCAGAGACCTGGAGGGAGCAGGTGGCCCTGTCCACGCTCCAGCGTCAGGGCCGTGGGGCTCCCAAGGGGCCCCAGCTCGGTGCCAGCTGGGAGACGGGGATCAAGGGCCATGGAGACCAACATGGGCTGTCTCCTCTCCCACGAGGAGCTGGCCTATGTACGCGCTGGGGGCGTGGGCAGTGGGCTTCCTGCTGAGAGCCGTGGGGGCTGTGAGGTTCCTGCTGGGTGGCCTTGGCTCTCAGCGCACTGCACCTGAAGCTCTTACCCTCTTTGGGTGGGGGAGGCCCCGGGGGGTGGAGCTCGCTCAGCAGCTCAGGGTCTCGGAAGAGAAGCCCACCCTGGCGGGCAACCGCCCGCAGCCCCGACTTACCCTCTGAAGTATCAGAGCGAGCGCGGCCGGCTCCGGCTTTTGCTGGGTGGTGTTCCTCCCGCCAGGCCATAGTGCTCGGCCCCAGGCTCTGGGTGACCCGGGCCCGTGGCATCCGTCTGCAGCTCGGCCACCATCCTCCTCAGTGGCTGGGCGTGTCCATCCCGGGTCACAGGGGCAGGTCCCCTCCTGGCTGCCGGGGCCTCAGCAGACACAGATGAACAGCCCCCTCTCCGGGCCTTTCTCAGGGCTCAGAGCGCCCCCTGCTGGCCGCCTCCTCGGCTGCGGGGGGTGGCGGCCTTGCCCACGGGAACCTGCTGGGTGTCCTTGCCAAGGTGGGCGCCCTGGTGCAGGCCCCAGAGCCCGGCTCACCGCAGGCATCGTCCAAGGAGCATGTTCTGTGTGTCCGGCTGCGGTGGGCATTTTTAATTTCTCTCCTGGGTTTTGGGTCTCTGGTAGTTATCTTAGTGGTGTTGCTCCAAGACCCCCGAAAGGCCCCACCATGTGGCGTGCTTGGTGCCCACGCGTTTCCCGAGTGACGCCCAGAACCAGTCTCCCATGCACTTTCTCATGGTGGAACTTTCCACTTGGGATTCTGGAACGTTCCCGATTTCTGAATTTGGGGTGATCCGCCCGTGCCCCCTTCCCACTCTGACCCTGTGATCCCCCCCAAAATTGCCAATCCCCCTTGTCCTTCTCTTCCCACCCCTCCCTCCCAGACCCCAGGGGCTGGCCTCTGACTGCTCTCCCCACTCTTCTTCCCCCTCCCCCCGCAGGCTATGGCCACGCGGCACCCGGCACAGACGCGGGCAAGGCCTTCTGCATGTTCTACGCGGTGCTGGGCATCCCGCTGACGCTGGTCATGTTCCAGAGCCTGGGCGAGCGCATGAACACCTTCGTCCGCTACCTGCTGAAACGCATCAAGAAGGGCTGTGGTATGCGCAACACGGAGGTCTCCATGGAGAACATGGTGACCGTGGGCTTCTTCTCCTGCATGGGCACGCTGTGCATCGGCGCGGCCGCCTTCTCCCAGTGCGAGGACTGGAGCTTCTTCCACGCCTACTACTACTGCTTCATCACGCTCACCACCATCGGCTTCGGGGACTACGTGGCGCTGCAGAGCAAGGGTGCCTTGCAGAAGAAGCCGCTGTACGTGGCCTTCAGCTTCATGTACATCCTGGTGGGGCTCACGGTCATCGGAGCCTTCCTCAACCTGGTCGTGCTCAGGTTCCTGACCATGAACAGTGAGGACGAGCGGCGCGACGCCGAAGACCGGGCGTCGCTGACCGGCAACCACCACAGCCTGGTCATCCATGTCCCCGACGAGCCGCGGCCAGGCCGTGCCCGCGCCAAGGGCGAGGGCACCGAACTGCAGTCCGTGTGCGCCTGCTCGTGCTACCGCTCGGTGGCCACGCACCAGAACTCCTTCGGTGCCAAGCTCGCACCCCAGAACTTGCAGTCCATCTCGTACAGGATGGAGGAGATCTCCCCGAGCACCTTGAAGAACAGCCTGTTCCCGTCACCCATCAGCTCCATCTCCCCTGGGGTGCACAGCTTCTCCGAGCACCACCGGCTGATGCGGCGCCGGAGGTCCGTCTAAGGTGCGGGGCGGGCGCCAGCACGGCCGCGTCCCCTGTGTCAGAGTCGACGTAAGTTCCATCGGCCCCGACTCGTCTTTCCCTATTTATTTGTGATTTACCCTTTGTCGTGCCGGCCATCTGTCATCGCCTTCTCTCTCTCTCCTCTTCTCGGCTTTATTTCTTCCCTACCTTTCCAGCCAGGCAGAACAGGCCCAGGGGAAAACCAAGGCCCCTCCTCCTCCGAAACCCGCACCCAAGCACGCAGGCATGGGTCGTCCTTTCCCGCAGAGTATGCCTTATACGCCCCCTGCCCCTTCCCCACCTGAGGCCACTGGCCCGGTCCCAGGGTGAGATGGAGCCCACGCAGACAGAGCTAAGAGGATTTTAAACCCAAAGCTACAAGCCCAGCCAAGAGCCTGCTGTCGCCCGCCCCAAGTGGCGTCTCTGCCCAGCGCCTCTCTCTCTCCTTCCCCCAAGGACTGGGGGGTGTTTGTGTGTGTGGTGGGGGGGCACGCTCAGATGGTGCAAGTGTGTGTCACGGGATGAGACGGAAAGTTCCAGAATTTCTTCATCTCTCCCTCCACTCACCTGGTTTCATAGCCTACCTTTGGCTGCTCCCAAACCAACACGGCACAAGCAGAACCCACGGGGCTTTTGAGTTCTCATAGTTGCCAAACCAAGCATGCTCCGGTAAAGCCGTCTCTCCCAGACGCGTCTCGACCGTAACTTAAAAAAACGCTAGGCTCTACATTGTATTCACGGATTTTCAGGGTGGGTGGGAGGGGTGGGTGGGGATGAAGACAAAGGGTCACTTAGCTTGCCAGTTCCAACACTTACAGCATGCACTTTGTGAAACTGGTTCGCTTCACCAACATATGAGAACAGCACTTAGAGACGGTTGGACGGTCCAGAGCCAACCGTACGGAGTTATCACGGCCATTTTTCAGTTGTGTCATCTCCGGTTCCCATGCTTGGCCACACGCGCCTGGAACCCCAGGGGCTCGCATCCCTCTCATTGACGATGCTGGCGATTCGGGGCAGCTTCGTCCCGCAGGGGTAGGAAGGGCAGCTTTGGAATGCTTGGCTGAGAATGGGACTTTCTAGAAGACTGGCTCACATTGCATTCGAGTGCTAAGTAGGGGAAAGGTCACGTTGGTCTGAGTTTTGAGGCTGGGTCTTGGCTTGCTGGGGACCTGTCAATCTCACGGGAACGCCCCCTGCGCCACTGTCAGCAGGGGGTGGTCCCAAAGGGAAGCCTGTTCCTCTCCGAGGGGCTGCATAGACTGACACTCGGGGGTCCAGCGTCTCATGTTAACCCTCAGCTTCCCCCGAGGGTGCTTTGACCTCCTGCCTCATTGCCATCTGTGCCATTTCTAAAACTCACCCATTCCCCCAACCTCCCACGCCTTTCTCGTAAGCCGGAAATCCGCGGCTCTTGGATGAAATGGGCTTTGGTTGTACTGCTCAGGAGGAGACTTTGCTGGCCGACAGGATGTCTTAAGAGGAGACAGCACCCAAATGCCACCCGCCCCGTGCTCATGGGCCGCTGGGCTGGAGCCACAAGCACCGAAGACCCCGAGAAGGCCGTGCCTGTACTGTGCCGCTGCACCCCTGTTGCCACCTCCCTTCCGCCCAGGACAAGGACCTGCGGGAGGAGCCGGGGAAGCCTCAGCCTGCAAGGTCTTGATGGGTGCACTTGTCTGTAGGAGCGCCTGGTGGCCGTTTAGGCTGCCGGAGAATAGGAGCAGGTGCTCTCCTCCTTGGAAGATTGGTGGCCGTAGGGATGGTTGGTGGGAGACCACTGAGGCCCACCTGCAGAGTGCGCTCTGCCTGGAACACGTGTGGGGGCTGTCGTGCCAAGCTCTGTAACGTGTGCCCGTCTGTGCCCTGGCTGACCGGAGAGCGACGCCGAGGCACGAGAGGACGGGCGGTTGGCTCAAAGTCGCGGAGCTGGTCTCGATGGGGCTGAGGCCATGGTCTCACCCAGGACCCCGACTCCGCTTCTCTGCAGGGGCACACGCCAGGCCCTTGGTGTCAGTGACGGGGATGGCAGCAGGGTCCCTGTCCAGGGTGGTGCTGCAGGGGCTGTGTTTCCTCCCCTTTCCCTGGGGGGAGGCGTAGAAGCCTCTGTCTCCCCGGAGCTGGGTCTTCTCTGGAGGATCCCGGATGGAGGGTGGCGCCTCTCCTGTGCTAACTGCAGAAATGCATATCTGTGGCGACTTTCGTGGCCAACCTTGGTCTGCCTCCCGTGGTCTCCAACAGAGCAGGGGCAGGGAGCACGGGAAGGGGCTCCAGGGTTCTCCTGACGAGACAGGGCTGAGCGCCCCACCCCTCCATCCGCACACGCATCCGAGTGCCCCACGGACGGGAGAGGTGGTGTGTGAGCTCACAGCCGGCAGCCAGGTGCTCATGCTGGTTTCTGTCCACCGTGTTCTTGGCCACCCTTGTTGACCCCTTGGTGCTGCACTCACGGTCTCAGGCCCAGGCCTCTCCTCCCCAATCCTGCAGCTGGAACCTTCTTCCTCCCAGCCGGGTGCCCACTCCTGTCCACTTAGCCATGCGCTCTCACCTAGGGGGCCAGGACGACAGCAGATGGTTTGGATCTGGGATCCCATTTCTGGAGGATGAACTTGGGAAGAGCTGAATTCTGCCGGAAGGAGGCAGGGTGGCCCGCCCCCGCCCTCCCACCCACTCCCTAGCAACCTCCATGCCTTGTAGATACCCAAAGATTTTCTAACTCTTGCTTGAACTCTTTTCGCCCAAGAGAGCTCTCTTCAACCTATAAACCCCAAGACAGGCAGAGGGTTGGGCAGGAGCCTTGGGCTCAGCCTTCTACAGACCCTCCCGTTTCTTACCCCCGAGACCACCCATCCTGGGTGAGAGGTGCCATCTCGGCCCTTGGCCCAGTGCCCTCTCTGGCTTTTGATACATCCTGGTCAGCCCCAGAGCTCGGATCCAAAGGGATCTTGCCACCTGCCCCACTATTTCTAGTCATCGACGTGTCGGTCTCTTCTGCCTCTGGAGGTCCCCCCCCATCTGCGCACCACTCACTGTGAGGGTGGTCAAAGCAGCCCGAGCCCCTCTGGGCCGCCGATCCTTTCCCAGGCTGCTGCCCCCGAGAGCCCACCCCACACGGGGAGAGCGGCTCCCCTGGGCCACGGCCATGCTTGAGAGCCTGTCCAGACGGTAAGCGGGATACCCACAGAAGTAGAGGTGGGCCCCTCTGGCTCCTCCTGGTCCACCATCCCTTGCCGCCGGGGAAGAGCAGTAGAGGCTTTCCTTGTTGTGCACGGTGCGTGGGAGATGTTCAGAGAGTCGCCCATCGCCGCGGCCCCCTCCCAGGGTCTGCAAAGTGCTGGGCCGAGCTCCACGTTACGGGGCTTGCTCTTGACCACGATCTGCCCCCTCACCCCCTCTGCCAGCTCCCTGCTTTGAGAATTCCAGGGTTACCTGGAAAAAAGGTGAAAATACACTGAGCTCCCATCCCTGGCCCTGCCCCTACAGCCTCAGGACTCCGCCCCTGCCCCACCCTCGACACTCACAGTCCGAGATGTTTGCAGGATCTGGTCAGTGGAGGCTGCGGATTTTGGGTGGTTCAGCCAAAGAAACCGTTGTAAATTCCCCGTGAACAAGAGCATTCTTCTCCGCACCAGTGCCATACCCAAGCGGTTCAGCCTTCACGTGATGCGATGTAACAGTCCGTGTGCACAACCCTGACTGTCCCTGTGCCGTGCACCCGCACCCCAGCCCCGCCCATCCTGCCGTCTCTGCTCCCCATTGTCTGTCACGATGTTGGCATTTTTGAAGAGTCCAGGCCTGTTGTTGTGAATGCCTTGTGACCTGCTTCTACCTGCTTGTTTCCTCAGGTTAAAGGAATATTTTAGCAAAAAAAAAAAAAAAAAAAAAAAAAAAAAGACAAAAAAAACCCACAAAAAAAAAACTAAAAAATAGTTGATGTCGTGTAGCCCTGACTTACGCACTTGATGTTCGGCTCTCTGGGGGCCTCTGTGGTTACTGCTTTTATCGTGGATAAATAAATCATATTAAATGTTGTTTTCCTCTGTTAGGCGAAGTAGCTGCAGCTTCGCGAGTGGTGCCCGTGGACGCTGGGTCTCCCCGCCAAAGCCCCACAAGGCTTTGGGAACTCTGCCTTCTCACGCCGACCTCCTCCGTGCCCTGTCCCTAAACTCCCGCAGGGACGGTCCAGCTCTCCACGGCACAAGCACGGGGAGCCGGGGCCCCTCCTGCTCTCGGTCCTGGAGACGCGCCTGCCGTTCTGCTGTAATCTGTGGTCTCTGCCTTTGAGATACTTGGCGCCGGCGGGTTCTGTCTCGGGGCCTTCTTGGGTCCCCGCGCACTGAGCATTCTGCCTGCTGCAGCCCAGAACCCGTGCCCGAGCAGGTCTGCGCCTCTGCCCATGCTGTTCCTGCTACCTGTCACTCTGCAACGTGGTGCGGGAGCAGCTCACTCTCCTGCCCCTCTGCCCCCTGGAGGACTCAGCGGTGGCCTCCCCTGGCCCTGTCTCTCTCATGGACAAAGCCTGAGAGACAAACTTCCTTGGAGCAGCAGTTGCTGGGCTGCTCCCAGGAGCCGAGACAGGTTTTAGCTTCTTACCCAAATGGCCATGCCCTCCCCCCACCAATAAGCAAGGCAAGTCTCCCCTTGCTAACAAGGGAATTTGGGGACTTTGCTCCATTCCCGATGGCCTAACCCCACGCATGGGCTGCAAATCTCCCCCACCCCCCAACGATTCAATGAGTGTGCCATGTGGGGCAGAGCCGGCACCTGTCCACCTCACAGCCCGGCCTTTCCCATAGGCGCCTGCAGGTGTCGGTTACGCCGTGCTGTATTGGGCCTAGGCCATGTGCTCATGGTGGTGTGTCTCGGGGAGACCGAGTGGCTGAGCGCGGTGCACAGTGATTGGCACAGAACTCCATGCCTGGACAGCCCTGCACCTGCCACTTCCAGCTCCGGGCCCCCGGGAAGAGGCAAGGGTTGGCGGGCAATGCCTCCAGTGAGCAGCAGGCCCCCGGCATCTCACAGCCCTGGAATCCACCTGTCTTTCCCAGGTGGGTGGTGGATTTGCCTCTCACCAGCCTTGGTCCCCCCCCCCCCTTTACCGTGGAGATGACCAATAACCCCTACTGCGCAGGGGGCCGGTGAGGACTGGAGGTAACATTTGCCGATGGCTGTTCTGCGCCGAGCACCATGCTGTGTCAACCTGTCTTTGCTCTGTGGGGCCCAGGGCTGAGGGGAGCTCTGCCCTGCCTAGAATGCGGCACAGTGCAAAGGAAGGTGCTGCTGCCCCAGAGCTTACCCTGGGCACCGGGCCAACTGCACCTGCCAGGGGTGGGAGCGTTTCGCCCCAGTGCAGAGATGGGTCCAGGCCAGCCAGGGAGTGTTCGCTGCATTGCCTACTCCTGCACCTGCTGCAAAAGCCGGGCTCGGTCCTGTGCCCTGGGGACGATGATGAGGGGAGAGCCACGTCCCAGTGGAGGCAGCAGTGGTCACTACCTATGCAGATGTTGGCCCTCAGGCTTTGCCCCATTCCTGCGGGTCCCCGAGGACCAACAGAGTCCTGGAGGGTTAGGTTTCCCAGCCTGACACAAGCAGTAAGAGATGATGGGGTGCCAGCTGCCCGGATACCTGCAGTGTCTTCTTCCTGGTCCCTGCAGTGTGGTGGCCTGGGGAGGTCTGAGAATAAGAGGAAAGCGCTGGTGACCCCCATCCACCCCCAGGCTTCCAGCTCCCCTTCTGTGAAGGGCCTGGAACGGGGATCGCTACTTAAGGGTCAGGGCAGGGGGCATCCAGGAACGTGCCTGCAGGCTGCGTGGGGTTTCTGAGCCTGTGTGGGACACACAGGTTAGCCAGGAAGCTGGGGGGGGGGCTACCTGACAGGGGACAGTGGATGTCAGCACAATGCAGGGGACCTTTGGGAGGGTGGGGGGGGTCAGAGCTGGAGGGGCGGTGGAGGGGCAGGGGAAGGATGCGTCAGAGTGTCCAAGAGGCCCACTTGGGATGTTCTCACTCTTCCATCCCTGTGTGGAGCGTCTGGCCCAGCCTCACCAGGGAGTGGCATCTCATGAACCTGGCCCCCATGGACGCAGCAGCTCAGTCTGGCCTCTCGTAGGTTGGAGAGGACATGGGAACCTTCCCACCAGCCCAGCCCTGGCCTCCCTTAGATGTAGTCAGACCTCATGGCTTGGTAAGTCACCTCCTAACCTCTGCCATCAAAGGTGAAATGGCCAGGTGAGACGCAGGCATTGGCCAGGCAGGTACAGGGAGACAGACTTGGTGGTGTTATGTACAAGACTTTGACGCTGGGTAGGCATGGAGGCAGCCCAGGGTTGGACCCTTCCAGCCAGGGGCTGGGTTCCTGCTTCCTGGGGGCTCCCCATTTTCCAGGTGGACGTGTGCTGTATGGACTTCTCCCACTGAAGAATCCCGTCCCCGCCCTGCCCCCAGAACCCTTCCATGGATGAGCTTGCACGTCAAGGCGGCTTCTCGGTTATGGGCCCGCTCAGTTCCCAGGGGATGGCGGGGAGGGGGCGAACCTGCAACGGGGGAAGCCCACCTTGCGTCTGGTGAACCTAGGGGACCTCGCACCTTTCCTGCATGCAAGGGGATGGTGCCCCTCCCAGCAGCAGCTGCAGCAGCAGTGGAGGGTCTGGTGGCTCCCTGGGGTCCCGTGTACACCGCGGGCTGCTGATTTCTGCACTGTCAGCCTCAGTGAGGGGCTGGGGCGATCTCAACCATCTCGAACCACCATGGCAAGTGGGCCTCAAGCTGCCAGACGGCACACCCCTGGAACCCAGAATGTGCCTCGGCCATTTTTCATGTTCCCAAGCTGAGTTTTTAAAGAGTTGGGTGGAATTAAAAAATGCAAGGAAAAATGCAATTAGCTGGAACCCAATGGAGCAGAACCCACAATTAACAAGGTTTCTCCCTAATTTGATGGCTGCTCCGAGACCACCACACTTCTGATAAGGGCTAATTACACGTTTGTTTATTCATCCCAGAAAAAGCATCCTGACAGCCGTTTTTGGGCTGGGAGGTCCCTGGGGTGGGGGTGTCCATCAGCCCACCCCAGCTGTAGCAGGGACGCCACCAAGTACACTGCATTGGGTGGGCGAGACTGTTACTACTGCCAAGGACGATTTAAACAGATGAACCCAACTGGAAGATGGAGACCTTGGTACGTCCCAAAGCTTTGAGTAGAAGGTTCACAAGTTAGCACCTAGAGGCGACATAGCACCAAAGACGTCAGATAGGATGACCAGTGGAATCCCAGCCGCACTGATAGCCGGCCAGCAAACCGTCATCGTCCCTCCTAGAGGTCCTTTTTTTCCCCTTCAGTCAACCATGCATCCTTGTACAAGAGAAAACTCACCTGTCATTTGTGGCCAAAGTCATAAAGGTTATGCTTGAATTAGTTCAAAACTCATACCCATCAAAATGATTGGCGTGCACTCGCAGGTTCCTGGGGGCGGGGGGAGGGGCACGGGGATGGGGCCCTCGCATTTGTCTGTCTGTGGGCTGTATGTGTGTTCACTGGGTATCCTCGGGTCTCTGGATTTGGGTGGCTTTCTTTCCCAGCTGTGCAGTGTGGCCCTGGATCTGGTTCTGTCCTATCAGTGGGAGGCTATGGGCAGTGGAGGGCGGGCACAGACGGACACTGTACGGGAAGCGGGTGGGTCTAGGGGGGAATGGAATGGCTGGGCCCTCCCCTACCACGGCCAGTGCAAGCAGGCCCGACGGACATCCCAGTGGCTCGCCTTTTTGGGGGGAAGCCGCACCAGATACGACAGAGCCAGGGATGCCAGCTGGACTGCAGACTACCCAGATCAAAGCCGCTGCCTGCTGCTGTGTGTTTCTCTCGTCTATCTTCCCAACCTTCTCATGCATGGAGAGGGTGTTCTCACCAACGGCCTTAGAATGCCCGGCTGAAGCCTCACGGGATGAGACAACCATCCGATACTAGATGTGTTTATTATCATTGCAGCTTCAAGAATGACAACAGAAAATCCTGTATCACCAATGTTTACAAGTCCAAGTAGACATCAGCCCGTGTAACATATGTAATTTATGCAAGAGATCACACCTGTCTTTTGTAACCAATGCACTGGGCAACCCTGTAAATATTTTACAGTGTGTTTATGGAAACGGAGAGCATCATTCGCTGTCGCGCTGTAACATAATGCACTTTTCTAGTTTTTCATTAAAATCTCTAAGGCACCTTTGCACATGCGTCTTAGTCTTCCTTGGTGGACGAAGCCTGGGCTGGGAGCCGCCCCAATGCAACCTCGCCCACCTCCAAGCCACCTGGCAAAAGGCCAGCCAGGTGAGGGCCCGGGTGGGTGTCGTGGTCATCCCTGGTCTCCCCCGGAGTTTCCGGGGAATAAAGGGTTTCCCCTTAAGCAGGAGGAAGTCCCCCTTGTGCTCCGCCTGCCCTCTTGGTTCTCTGGGTGTTTGGACTTGGTTCCAGGAGTCAGAAGTTTGACAGGTTTGCATCTCAAGGAGCAAATGAACCCAAATCAGAACGAGACGTTGACCTTAATGAACGGAGCCCCACTGGGCCACCTCTCGTTCTTTCCTGGCTCACAACTCCTCTTCCCGCCTATCTGTGTGGGAGGAGAAGACCGGTGCTCTCTAAACCAAAGGCCAAATCCACGCCTTCCACCCCGCCCCCAGCCTCTGGGGCTTTGAGACACAGGTGGCTGTGCCTGCCCTGGGACAGGAGCGCACGTTTCTGCTGGGCGTGGAGAGCACCCTGGGTGGCCTAGAACTTCATAACATCCCTCCTTGGAAGTCCACGGGAGATCCCGGCTGCAGGCGGCTCAGTCCTTTGTGTTCAGGAGTCCTGGCTCCTGTCTTGCAGGAGCTGTATCCTTGCACCAACTGCCCCTGGTGCCTCCCCAGAGCTGTCACAGGCAACCGACAGGCCAGCCCCCGGCTGCAACTTGAAGTCCTGCGATTTCGGTTCCATCCTCGCCGCTTGTCCTGTGAGGGGCCGGTTGTATTTCAGGGGCTGGAAGTCGGGCAACAGCTTCCTGTAACGGGCCACAGGGTTCACCCAGCCTACACTCGGTTCAACCACTCAGCTCTGCCACTGTGGCCCCCCAAAGCTACCCTAACCAACCCATGCATGAATGGGCTGCGTTCCAGTAACATTTACAGGACCTGAAGTCAACTTCGTTAACTTTCACAGGACACAAAATGCTGCTTTCTTGATTCCGAACCACCTACACCCCCCAAGGAGGACATAGAGGCCATAGTCAGCAGGTCGCCCAGAAACAGGCTGTGTGCGGGAGTTGGGAGGTGGGGCCAGGGCCTGCAGTCCTCGGACTTCTGTTCCAAGGCATTTTACAACCATGCATTCATTTCATCCCTAGTCTTTGGGGTAGGTGTTCTCGGGAGATTCCAGGGGCAACAGGGCCAGGATTCACAAGCTGTCCGGTACCAGCGTCCACACTTTCATCCCCATAACCATTCTCTCAAGCAAGCACCCCCAGCAGGACACGGAGGGGAGGTACCTGGGCTCACCCACACTTCTTGGGCTTCTGCCTGGGCAAGGCTCCCCCAACCCTCAAAGCCCATGACTCCTGTGTGGCGCTGCCTGATGCCATACCCCTCCCACCCCAGCACAGGCAAAGAGCAGCCACGAGCCAGCCACAGGTGTCATGGCCAAGGGCACTGCCTCACGTACCAGGTGTGGGAAGGGGCGCAGGGGAGCATCCTCCAGCCTGCCACCTGCTCGGTTGAGTTTGGAAACAGATTCTGTGCAGCACCTGCCATAGGATTTTTAAAAACCTGTCTCATTCATGTCTTGGGGATGAAGCCCTACCCCTCCCCGCCTCGTGTGTGTAGGAGGTAAGACCGCTGGCTAATGGGAGCCGCCAGGACTGCTGGTGACCTGGGTGGTTGTGCACCTGTCAGGTCCACTCAGAGAGGGAGGTTGTTGGGATGGGAGCAGCAGTGGATCCTGTCTCCTCCTATTTCCCTCCCCGCATCTTTTCCCAACATATTCATTAATCACTGTGGATTGTAGAACCGATGCCTTGCCCACCTCTCCACCTGGGTTAACCCTCACTGGGCCACACACGAGTTCTTCCCCTCTGGTCAACAGCAACACCATCTTCCCAGCAGTTCCAGACCCGCTGATTTTGGAACCACCAACTTTTGCCACCCCCAGTCCACTCCTTTGAAGAATCCTATTGGCTGTACCTCCTGCCTATTTTCAGACTCTGACCCCATTTCTCCCTCCCCCTGCCACCAAACCGCTCAGGGATTCTGCAGGAGGGTTAACCCCCATGCTGCCATGCCTCAAACCTCCCAGCTGCCCCCTTCCAGCCCAAGGGTAGGAGGGTGGTCGTAGCCATGGGACACATTCTGAGGTGAAGTGACTGTCACATCCAGGCTGGAGCATTAAGCTTTTTAAACATTGTCAAGAGACAAGCTTCCATCTGCTGTTTCACTCCCCAAATGGCAGCAATGGCTACACCTTGGGTCAGGCCATGACCAGGAGCCTGAAACTACACCCAAGTCTCCCATTTGGGTGGCAAGGACCTAAGCACGCGGGCCATCCTCTGCTAAACTCCCAGGCATAGTGGGGACCTGGATGAGAAATGGAGCAGCTGGGACTCAAACCAGCACTCCTATGGGATGCCGGTGTTGTAGGTGGTGGCTTAACCCATTGTGCTGCTCCAGCCCCTGCGCATTCAACATCGGAGTGAGGCTCTCCAGATCGTTCTTACTCTCTGTTCCACCTGCAACAGCTGCAGAGGTGAGAGGCGGCGCTGGCTCCCCAGGGTGTTAGTGCCCTGCACACAGCTGGCTGGTGGTAGGTAGCTGTTGAATGACCAGCTGGCCCACCTCACCTCCTGGAGACATGCGTGATGCAGTACACTCTGCGGTAAACGCCGCCCACTCCTGTCCTTCCTGCTTCCAAGAACATAAAGGAAAGCTCTGGTACACATGACCCTCCTTTCAGAAAGGTGGCCTTCATTCCAAGTCAGCACACCCTTGACAGCGCCTGTCGGGGAGTCCACACCAGGGACAGGACACCCCTTGGTGAAGGGGGAAGTCCTGGCCTGGGGCCTCCCCTTCTCTCCACCAGCTGCAGCACAGTCAGTCCGGAAGGCACTAGCCTTCTGACCAACACCCGGACCTTGCTTCTCTTTTTGTAAAAAATTATTCACTTGAGAGAGTTGGGAGGGAGAGAGGGAGGGAGAGAGGGAGGGAGAGAGGGAGGGAGAGAGGGAGGGAGAGAGGGAGGGAGAGAGGGAGGGAGAGAGGGAGGGAGAGAGGGAGGGAGAGAGGGAGGGAGAGAGGGAGGGAGAGAGGGAGGGAGACAGGGAGAGGTCTTCCATCCGCTGGCTCACTCCCCAGATGGCTGCAACAGCCAGGCGGAAGCCAGGAACCAGGAACTCCAACAGGGTCTCCCAGGGGGGATGCAGGGGTCCAAGGGCTGGTGCCATCTTTCCCTGCTTTTCCGGGGGCAAAGTGCTGGATTGAAAGTGCAGCAGTCAGGACTCGAACCAGGGCTCATGTTGAACTCGCTGTGGCAGGCAGCAGCTCCCGGGTCGACAGCAGAGGAGGTCTATGCTCAGAAAGAACAACTTCACAGGCTACGTCCAGTGGGGTCCATATCTGGTGGGTGCGTGGCCCTCCGTGGAGGACAAAGTCTCCCCTTTCTTCACACTGGGCACGGCCGTGGGTCCAGCAGCACGGTTGGTTCTGCATCAGCCCCATTTCCAACTCTTCGCCTCACTTTGTGCACACCTGTGCCGTCCACAGCAGCCCTCGGTCTTCCCAGGGAAGCGGAAAAGCAGCACCCGAGGTCATGTGGGGAAGGCCCTCTCAGAGGCCTGGCACTGACCAGACGTCAAATCCCGCAGGGCGGTCAGTTGACTGAAGGGAGTCGGACTTGGCTCTGTGGGTGATTGACACATGCCTTGTCCTGAGCACACAAACCCACAGGCCAGAGTTTATGGAGTACCCACTAAGGCAGACTCAGTTCTGAACCCTTTTCAAAAACAATTAAGGAAATATCGTGAGTCCCTGACTCGATGCCGCTGTCCCTAGGACTTGGGATTCCCACCTGCCTCTGCGCAGTTTACACCCAGCGTGATGATGGGCAGCGTGTCTGAAGGCAGCCCGCAGACAGAGGGAGAAGGGCAGAGGGAGGGGGAGCTAGAGCTCAGCGGGCAGTGGGAGCAGTGCCCTTTCCCCCAGAAGGGGGGTGCTGAGCAAAGGGAGGAGAGCGCCAAGCAGATGGGGGTCAGAGAGGACAGCCCAGCAGGGGAGCCGCCAGGACCAAGGACACAGCAGGAGACCCGCGAGCTAGGGGCTCTTAGGGCCTGGTTCCAGCTAGCCTACCCTGCCCAGCCAGTGGAAGGCCCCAGTTCTGCAACTGTCCTCTCTCCCCGAGGCCTTATCTGGGCGAGCTCTCGGTCTGGCTCAGCCCGAGATCCACAGCAGGAGGCACCTCAGGCAGGACGGGGAAGCAGGCGTGGACACCCGTGGAACTGAACACAGAAGGCTGCCGCGGAGCAGACGGAGCCGACTCCCACCTGCTAGCTCACCCTTCCGTCACGGACCCCAGGGTGTGTGACGATGGCGGTTACGCCACACGCACGAGGTGGTGAAGTCATGGATTCCTCCCTCGCAAGGTTGTGGCTCCAAATGACGAGGCCGGGAGGTATGGGGCTCTGGGGCGGGCTGGTGCACCTGCTCTGCAGGGCTATGCAGCGTGGCGGGGATGGCAGCCGCCCACCCAGCCACCTGCCGACTCACCTGGTGCAGGTGGCAGCCTGGACAGGCGGTGACGGCCTCCAGCAGGGTATGGGTGATCGCCACCGATGTGTGGCTTTGTGCAAGCCGAGTTTCACCAGTGGGGGGACCTCCCTTCCTGGGGTCACAGTTGACATCTACATGGCTGTGGGCAGAGGGCCAGGGGACCAGAGAGTGCTTGGTTCTCATCATGGCCCTGGGAAGTGTCACCCACCCCATGCTCCCCTCAAGGGGCCACCATTCCTTCCCATCTTGGCCCCGATGCCTTCAGCCCCAGAACTCGAACTCAGGGTTTCCTGCACTTCTGTGGTCCCCAGCCGGGGTCCTGGACCCAATGGCCTGGGTCTGGGGCTATGAGGAAGAAGGGAGAGGTCTTTGCTGCTCAGAGCAGATGGCGCTAGCTCGCCCAGCTGCCCTGTGAGTGGTGAAGTCCCCACAGAGCGGCCGCA